GAGTTACAATTCGATATATTTTTAAAAGATTTGTCTGTTTGGTGTATTGAACATGGAGGCAATCGTTGCCGTAATCTTAAATTCCATAATCTCGTGTTAAAAACCTTATTAGAATTATTCTCTGAAAGAGGTGCCAAATTAGAAGTTTTTTACATGAAAAACGTATATAGAAGTGCGTTTCCTTCATATCACACAGAATTAAAACATCTTGATTTTAGTGTGTTAACATCTGTTAACGTTAAAGAAATGTTTGTGAATTGCAAAAAAATGAGGTTAGAAGGAGATGTACTAGCGCTTGATAATCTTATAAACATTTTTACAACAATTTGTAATAATATCGAACATTTAACACTCGATTCTCCGAATATAGAACCCAAAGTTTTACAAAATGGAACTAAAAATTTTTTGAATCCAAAATCAGATTCATTTTTATCTAATGAAATAGATAGAAAGGAAGTTCTTTCCAAAATTTTATCAAAATGTAATCGACCTAGTGCAATTGCCAGTTTAATTGTTTCTCAACGCAAACTTAGGACTTTGGTTCTAATTAATCAGTTCTCAATGTATTATATACCTTTTCATTACACAATCCAGTTTGTATAAAAAAAGATTCAATTTATTACTATGTAATTTTTTCGGGGCTTATTTCATAAATAGTTAAAAAAACGTATATCTGATTTAATAATTCGAAGTTATTATTGTTCTTTTTTTTAAAAAAAACTTCATGTACTTATAGCAATGCCAACTTTTCTTTTCTTCCTACACCTATACAAACATATAACCGTGACAAAACCAATAATAGCAACGATTACAAGTCCAATAAAGCTCAGAATAAAAATCGATGCCACATTTGGAGAAGGGATGTCTGGCAATGCGATGGCGGAAACATCTGGAGGTGTAAATGTTGTTAACCAAGTGAAATTTGTGACATTTAATATGTAAATGTTTAAATCAAATCTATCCAGAAGTTGTCGCGATTCAGTTGTATTTTCTTAAAAAATTAATAAAATTTAGATGTGTACGTACCATGTGTACGATTCCTCAAGAAACAGATATCTCGGAGATTACTTACCTAATGCTACCACCATTAAATCTTCAACTAATATAGCAGTATGTGAGTATAATATCGGAGGTATACTCCCAGTAACCATCTGTTGGACCCATGTAAAGACTTTTTCGCTTGTAAGAATGGCAAGTGATGGTGTTGGCGAAATCGAATCCTGTCGAAATCCTCCACAGATGATGATCTTAGCACCTTTATTTACTAAGAAAATGGTTTAGATGTTTATTATATTAATAAGTTAATTTACTTATTCTTTGATGAAGTTAATTTACTTATTCTTTGATGGCAATTCGTATAAATTTACCCAACACTGCTGAATGTTCTGAACGGCCGCTCGGGATAGAACCATTTGCGAGCTAAATCATATCAATAAAATTTTATTTATTGCTTTGTGAATAAACATTATGATACATTATGACAATTATAAACCTACGGATAAATTCCAACTTGAAGTATTCGTATCATATATTGAAATCTATTTTTGATTCATAAAATTGAATTTAAATATGCGTTTACAGAAAAATCACGGTTCAAAACTTGCTTAAAACTTGCCTGATCCATTGGCACATAATTGAAACTACTATCAAAACCACCAATATACAAGATTCTTCCGTCATTCAGTAAAGTGGCTGTATGCCCTGATCTCGATATTGGAGCATTTATATAAATTGACCATGATAATTTAACAGTATCTAAAACAATCGTATCATTATACCAAGTTAATGTATCGTTCTTGATTCTATATCCACCAAATATTAATATTTGTCCTAAAGAGTTTGTAACTGAACTCGTTCCAATTCTTCTCAGTTCTGGCAAATTTCCAGTAATTATGGGATCGATGTTGTATACACTATTGTAATAATTTTCATTAAAGTTTTTAATGTCAATAGCGTATACGCTACTGTGATTGTTGTCCCCACCAAATAGAAATATCGTTGTATTATTAGGACCACCAACGGATGTGATCGACCAGCTTTCATTCGGAAATTTCGTTGGTAGGCTTTTAAGCGGTGGATTTATAGTATTAAATGGGCGTGAGATGTCAAGACTAAAGAATGTTGTGAAATTATTACTCCCAAGAAAATATATATATTTTTCAAACAGGCTCGCTGTATACTTAAATGAAGAAAGAAATATCATAATGAAAATTTCATAATAATATAAGAAATGAGATGATATACCATTATTTATTAATGTTATCCAACTAAAGAAGTGAAATGTTAAGTTGATCAAAAACCTTTTTATCGTTATTTTGCGGGACCAGAATCAAAAATAGATTACAGATCTAAATTTACCTGTTATCGTTACCTTTGAAATGTACAGTTGACTTTGTGTAACGTTCAACAAATGCATAAAAATTCGCCATTATAATAACCAAAAGAATACGCCAAGAAAAAAACCAGTCATCGTGCTTTCTTTTTTTTTTTTTTAATGCTTAAATTTACTTACGTATCATATATGTCTCTGATCAGGGCTGAGACTGGCAAATAATAAATAATAACTTGATCTAGTATTCCCTTGGTGCCACTCATATGTTTTCGACCT